GCCGTTTAACATAGCTATGGAATATCACCCATTACCCATTTATAGATGAATTACCCATGAGAAAGGCTGATTTTCCATAGCTATGTTTGCCAAGAAGCCAAATGGAAGGTGTTCCTTTTTCCGGGGGGGGTACACCCCAAAACCATGGGTTTTACTAAAATTCTCCCCATAATTTTGGATGATTTGGGCCTTTGGAAACCCATGGGGTACCCTGTGTCCTGTCGCCACGGCTGAGGATTTCTTCCCTCGGAACCGTGGGGCACCCCATCAGCTGCAGCGAGCCTTGCTTGCTAGCGTGGAGTGAAGGCACCGACTGCCTGCCGAAATCGCAGAGTTTTCAGCTGGCAAACTTGAGTTTTCAGAGTTTTCAACGAACAAAAGCCGGTGATTGAACTTGATTTGACAGGAGACTGGACAAATAGAATCAAGCGCTATCCACTGGTGATTTAACTTATTTCACTAGTCCAGAGGACTGGATCCAGTCGCGACAAAAATTGGGATTACTTCTGGTGATGGTTACCATGGATTTAATCACCAGAAATGAGACGATTGCTGCGGAAGATTGAGGAATGTACAGTGGCTGTGTTTGAATCTATCAATTATCTACGTTTGTTTTAACATTCTCCATCTACAGAATGAACTAATAGCTACTAAATACTACTAAATATACACCCAATATGTTTCATGTGTTTTCCATTTGTTCCTACAGTTTCCCATTATCTCCCTGTATCATTTCCCAATTTTCCGTTTACAAAAAACTTGCCGAACGGACTGCTGTGAAGGTGGATGTCCAGCAGGCAGCAGCTGCAGGCCGCTTTGGCCCAGCATTCGGTGATTCACCTATTGTGGATGGACAACGTCCTGCACCCGTTGGTAACTATTGGCAACTATGAAACACTGGGTTTATAGTCTATAATAGGATTGTTCCGTAGCAGCACAAAATACCAGAGGGTATATAATGTAGTAGTTCTTGTTATTGTTGGCAGCATGATTGAATGCATTGCTGATACAGTTTTGATGGCAAGTTGGAAATAGCTAGGTGCTCGTATCTATAGATAGATAGGTGAAATTGAACCAAGGAGCCAGAACCATTGGAGCTTCCCGACCCAAAGCAGGCTATGGCGCTGCACAATTCAAAAGATTGAAATTCAGTGACCATGAAACCATTGCTCGCTGCGAGCTTGCGCTGGTCATGGGAGGATTGCTTGACAAAGAGGTCTGCAGGGGCCTGATGCTCACAGCCAGAAACTCCCGGGTATCTGCAAGATACAACGAAGAGATGAAGAACAACACTGCCTTGAAGCTTGCAGCAGAAGTGTTGGCTGGGGGAGCACAACCCAGCATCATGCCTGTCATTGAGAAAGGCCATTTTTTGCCCAGTACGTCAGTGCTGCTGCAGAAATTCTCCCTTGGCAGCTACTTGGCGAATTGTGCAAATCGGACCATTCGAGATTCTGAGAATGCAAGCCTCAGACTCTACGGGAAGCATGCAGTTCTCCTCGCGAAGGTGGAGGCCTCAATTTCAAGCGCTGCAAGGCCCTCTGTGAGATTCTTGATATTCTTGCTTGGTGTGTCTTCATCATGTGCAAGTACTCAAAGAGTTGATGGATCAGTGTGCCCACAGGAATTGAACCAATGTGTCATGAGGGTAGGCCACTTTGTAGTTGTGGCTTATGGATGCTACAGCCATCCTCAAGCTGATAGAACAATTAGAGAAGAGAGGAGTTATGAGATAATTAGTGATCAAGTCCTAATTATCTCCTGCATGATCATCTGTCATCACCCGCAAAACAAGTTTCTATTTCTTGTGGGTCCTGAGCAGTTACCCTCCGGTAATCAAGCATGGCAATGGGCAGTCCGAAAATTACAGATGATGTTCCAAGAAAAAAAACTTACATAAATTATATATAGGGGACTTCCGTTTGCCATGTTTGGTGACACCGGTGTGTGTGTGTGTATGTGTATGTGTCAATATATTATATGGCCATATGAAATCATATGTATATATATATATATTATATGCATATTCACGGTCATATGTGTATATATATATATATTCTTACTCAACAAATTCCAGAACTTCCATGCTCGTGATACACAGGCCAAAAACCTTGGTTGGATGTTTGGTCCCACTCAGGTGGTAAGCCGTTTTTGTTAAGACACACGCGGATATGATCACACGTTTTATCACACATGCATATAGGCTGAATCGTTATATTTATAGCCCATGCAACTGAATGATATTGAATGTATTCCATGAAAAAACATATTATTCTTTATATGTATCCCTAAATAATTCAGCATACTTAGCCACAATACACCAACTATATCAACAATATCAACTATAAACTATGAATCCCCATATTTTCTTATTGGTTAAATGACAATATTTGCGTTACAGCCCTAATTTGTTCCGGGTGTCATCCCCATCCACTGCTCCAGGAGGTGTCATCGCTGCACACCCGGAGCCTTGGGAGCCTTGCCGGCTCCCAGAGTGCAG